GTCTGGTCCGTCGGCGGCGCGCCAATCCCGGCCGACCGCGCGTTGCACCACTCGTTCTGCGGCGACCCGTTAAAGTTGCGCGACGTGTCAATGATGCAGTGGAGACCGCCGGTCTGGCTCGAGTACGACTGGCAGGCTTGGACCATCTGGGTCGTGCTCTTGTAGTTGGCCGTGTTGATTGAGACACCCGAGAGTTTGCCGATTTTCTTGAGGGCCTCGATCGCAGGCCCCTGGAAGGCCCAGCCCGCGATGTCGGCGTAAATCTGCGCGTTGCTGTTGGCTGAGAGGATGCTCGTGGCCGCGGCGAGATTGGCTTGGTATCCGTACTTTTCAGCGCACTTGTTGCCATCGCCAGTCGAGAGGAGGCCAATGGCGTCCGGCTCCAGAATGTAGATGACCTTGCGGTTGCCAACCTTGTTGGCCAACGACTGGACCCACGCCTTGTACTGGTCGGCGTTTTTGTTCTTGCCATTGCTTGAGTAGCTCGACGCGCAGTCCTTCTCGGGCAGACCGTAGACGATGATGACAGGCGTGTCACTGGGGCACGATGCCAGAAGCGCATCGATCGCGTCACTGCCGCAGTCGACATACCAGTTGGCGACCGGGTACTGCTTGATCATGTTGATGGCCGGCGCGAACTGCGGGTTGGTTTTCACGGCGTCCGTGTACGACGGGGGTGCGATGCCCTTGCAGATGGCAGACGAGACGGTCGAAACGGCAGCAGTGGCCAAGGCAAAGGCGAGACTGAGCTTCATGGTTGTCCGCGTGGGCAAATTGAAAAATGAGACTCGAGCTCGTACCGATGAATCCATCGAGTCGCTTTTGTATTACCTATACGGCCCGGTAGTCTGGTGAAGAAACCGATTGGTCTGCGCGCCATATCATTTGCTGGAATCAAATCAACGCTGCCCATTGGATAAAACGATACGGCGTGGGCCAATGAAACCGCTTGCGATCTTTGGGAAGCCAATCCACATCTCAATTTGCATCCCGCCGCAAAACACAAAACGGGACGGTTGGCCACAAGAGCCTACGAGTTGCAACTGACGCACAGTCGTCGCGGTATCGACTATTGGATGTGCCTACCGGTAGCCTCTTGCAGCTACGTCCTATCGATGCGTGTTGCGATCCGCTTCTCAGCCGCTTGCAGAGCCGAAAATGCAGCACCAGAGATTTCGCCTGCAAAGGGACGCGCTGTCGATCGACTACTCGGAGCTACCGTTCAATGTGCTGCGACCACCGACGCTGGATTCCTTGGTCAATACAGTCAGGAAGGATTGCTTTTGTCGACTTATTTTAGTCGAGCGGTTTGGACACTGGTTTACCATCAGGTAGATCTGGGATCAAGTCCCTGAGAGGGCCCACTTTCTGATTGATGCGATGAGCAACCCTTCCTGCGAGTGGCACGTATCATCGGTCCAAATGACTTGGCCCCAGTCATATAATTCATTTTCGTGATGGCTGAAGGGACTCGGTTATCTGTGCTGAAGTGGTTCACGGTCAACCACAGCTTATAACGACTTTGAGGCTGGTCAGGAATTTTCTTGTTCTGTTCCACCTCACTTTGAGTCTCATAGTGAGGTGGGACTGAGAATAGTGATCAAGTATTCTCAAAATTTGAGAATACTCGACGTGAATTTTATCCGGTCCAGATATGCATTCAATCTTACTTTTGGCCAATTTGAGATCGAGTCGCGTTTTTCTTTAAACTCGTTCGATCTGGAATGTCGAGGGTGACCGCGGGGCCCAAGGTCGCGATAGGGCAGACAAAGCCGACGCGAGGCGCAGCGACGCGACAGGTCGTAGGACGTAGAGCCACCCGCGCCCGTCACTGGCCCCCGGCCACTGACGACCTGCCGGCCGCCGATGACGCGCTCCCCACACTTGACCGATGCAGCAAGCATAGTCGCCTTCGTTTTGACCAAGTGCTTGGAGCGCAGGAGCTTGTAGTCAGGTGTGGAGTCGACGAGGCGATGAAATGATGAGTGGAAGCACCGCAGGTGTTGATAAATCTTTGGTCGACGGGAAAACATATCGCCAAAACAGCCTGTAAAGTTGGGCGAGCGGCATGAAATATTAAAATATCAAATTATAATAATACATCGCCTGTTACTCACGCGCGGCCTTCATACGACGTATTGATAGTCGCCGGAAACCGCGTGCATTTTAATTCGACCAGTATAACAATAAAATAATAAAATAAAGTCGTCCAGGAAAAACCCCGAATGCGCGTACTGACTATATGATGGATGCCAACCAGTTCGCCTCTTGTGCTCTTCTTCGGACCGGTTGGCATGACCCAAGCCATGTCGAGTGGGGCGTCCTTGGCGGACGCGCTCTCGCGCCTCCCGCCCCTCGACCCGATGGAGGCCAAGTTCTTCATATCCCACATTGACGCAGCGGTCGACGAAGCGCTCCTGCTCTGCAACGACTTTGGCGCGATCCGGTGGCAGCCGCTCAAGCAGAAGGACGGCGTCGTCGTCTCGCGCGCCGCCGACGACATGAACTCCATGTCCAACCACGCGCTCGCCGTGCGCAGCGTCTGCCTTGTGAACGCGTCCTTTGACGAGATGCTGGACCACTTGACGACCGAGACGACCCGCGACTTTCACGAGCGCGAGGTCGCAGTCAATCCCGCCGAGTTTCTCGACGGCGCGATCCTGCATGTGCTCTGCCCGCGCGACGTTAATGGCCGCTACGTGTGCATCAAGTGGCACTGCATGAAGTCGGTTGCGCCGCCCACCAAGCCGCGCGACTACATCTACCTCGAGGTATGGACCATCGATGCTT